AAGGTCCTTCCATGCTGTCACAAATGGCAAGACTTGTTTCCTTTTTTATCGCTGAATAATATTCCTGTGTGTGTGTGTGTGTGTGTGTGTGTGTGTGTGTGTGTGTGTGTATCACGTTTTCTTTATCCATTCATCAGTTAATGGACACACGTTGCTTCCATGTCTTGGCTATTATGAACAGTGCTGCAGTAAACATGGGGGTGCATATATCTTTTTTGATTTATTTACTTAAGGGAGGGAGAGAGAATCCCAAGCAGATTCCATGCAGAGCACAGACCCTGATGCAGGGCTTGATCTCATAACCCAAAAAAACCTATGAGATCATAACCTGAGCCAAAACCAAGAGTCAGATGCTTAACCGACTGGGCCACCCAGGCATCTATCTTTTTGTGTTTGTTTTCATTTTCTTTTTGATAAATACCCAGACATGGAATTGCTGGATCATTGGTAGTTCTAGTTTTAGTTTTTAGAGGAACCTCTATACTGTTTTCTATAGTGGTTGCACCAATTTACTTTTTTTTTTAAGTAGGCTCCACACCCAGCATGGAGCCCAACATGGGGTTTGAACTCATGACCCTGCAATGAAGACCTGAGTTGAGGTCAAGAGTTGGTCGCTTAACCAACTGAGCGTGCCCCCCCTGCGCAAGTTACATTTTTACCTACAGTGCACAGGCTTCCCTTTTCTCTACTTCCTCATCAGTAATTGTTACTTGTTTTTTGTTTTGTTTTGGTCATAGTCTTTCTGACAGGTATAAGGTATCTCATTATGGTTTTGATATGCATTTCCCTAATGTTTAGTGATATTGAGCACCTTTTCATGTACCTGTTGGCTTCCTCTATGTTTTTGGAAAAATGTCTTTTCATCTCTGCCCATTTTTTAATTGGATTGTTTCCCCTTTTCTAATGAAAGCATTTAGTGCTATAATTTCTCTTTCAGCATTGCTTTATGTACATCCCAAAGGTTTTGATACACTGTATTTTCACTTTCAGTTCTGTGTATTTTCTGAATTTTCTTTTGAGAATTCCCCTTTGACTTACAAGTTATTTAGAAATGTGTGTTTAATTTCCAAATGTTTTGTAGCTTTCCAGATAGTTTTTGTTACTATTTTGTAATTTAATTCCTTTGCAGATTTTTCTGTTGTCTTTGTTACTGATCTTTAATTTGATTCCATTATGGTCAGAGACTATGTATTATTTCAGTTCTTTTAAATTGGTTGCGATTTGTTTCACAGGCTAAGTTATGGTCTGTCTTGGTCATTGTTCTATGGGTGCTTGAAAAGAATGTGTACTTCACTGTTGTTAGTTGGAGTAGTCTATAAATAATGATTAGATCCTATTGTTTGTTCTTCTATATCATTATTTCCTATCTGCTGTTTCTATAAATTGCTGAGTGTGGGTATTCAGCTCCCTATAATCTTTTTTTAAAGATTTATTTATTTATTAGAGAGGGAGTGTGTGGGTGAGTGGGGCGAGGGGCAGAGGGAGAGAACCCCCAAGCAGTCTCCCCACTGAGCACAGAGCCAACATGGGATGCCATCTCATAACCCACAAGATCATGACCTGAGCTGAAACCAAGACTCGGACGCTCAACTGATTGAGCCACCTAGGCGCCCCTCCTATAATCCTTTTATTTTTTAAATGTATGACTCGGGGCACCTGGGTGGCTCAGTTGTTAAGTGTCTGCCTTTGGCTCAGGTCATGATCCCAGGGTCCTGGGGTTGAGCCCCACATCAGGCTCCCCACTCCACGGGAAGCCTGCTTCTCCCTCTCCCACTTCCCCTACTTGTGTTCCTTCTCTCGTTGTGTCTCTATCAAATAAATAAAATATTTAAAAATAAATGTTTATCACTCTAGGTAAGAATTCCTTCAATTATGCATTTACAGATTATTTTTTTTTAATATGGAGGATCATGTTTTTAAAAAATATTTTATTATGAAAAGAAGTCAATGTATACAAAAGTAAAGAGAGTAGTTTAAGGAGCCCTTGTATCTGTTTTGCTTACCACCTAATGTTAGAAGTTGTCAATACTCTGCCATTCTAATTCCATGTAAAACAACCCTCCTGCCCCCTTAGCTGCTGGATTATTTTAAAGCAAATCCCAAACACCTATCTTATCTGCAAATACTTTGACAATGTATCTCTAAAAGGTGAGAATTTTTTTTTCTTTCTTTTTGTTTAACATAACTAGTATGTCATTATCACACCTAAAACAACAGTAATTCCTAGATATCATCTAGTACCTGGTTATTGTTTGAGTTCTTTAAAATATGTCATAAATGTCTTTTTAATGTCAGTTTGTTTTAGTGAAGGGCCAAAGTCTACAAGTTGCATTTAGTTAGTATGACACTTGATTCTTTTTTTTTTTAAGATTTTAAGTAATCTCTACACCCAGTGTGGGACTCAAGACTCACTACCCTGAGATCAAGCATCACCTGCTCTACCAACTGAGCCAGCCAGGCACCCCTTAAAGTCTCTTTTAATAAAGAAAAGATTCCCTTCCACTATCTTTTCTATTGTAATTTATTTTTTTGAAGAAATAGGCCATTTGCTACCTTCTGGATTTAGCTGACATTTCAGTCTTATATTGTTCCATATGTTCTTCTTTCTTTCGTTTTATCTGTGGATGATTTGTTTGATCTGGAGGGTTAGAAGATTCAGGTTGGATTTTTCATTTTCTTTGATAAGAATACTTTTTTTTTAAGTTTTTTTTATTGTTATGTTAATCACCATATATTACATAATTTGTTTTGGTGTAGTGTTCCATGATTCATTGTTTGTTCATAACACCCAGTGCTCCATGCAGAATGTGCCCTCCTCAATACCCATCACCAGGCTAACCCATCCCCCCACCCTCCTCCCCTCCAGAAACCTCAGTTTGTTTTTCAGAGTCCATCATCTCTCCTGGTTCGTCTCCCCCTCTGACTTTGATAAGAATACTTAATGGATGGTATAATGAGATCAATTACTATATCATTTTAGGAGGCACATAATTTTTGGTTCTCTCTTTTGTAATGTTAAAATTGATCGTTGGATGTAGATGTTATTAGCTGGTCCATCCATTGTAAACTTCTCAGCCTTTCACTTGAAACAGTTAAGCAATCATTAATGATTACTGAATAAATTCATTATTTCATAGGAATTACAAAATTATGATATTCCAATTCTGTTCTAATGTCTTCATTTATTAGCTAGAATCATTCTGTAAGAAACTTTTCCTCATCATTTATTTGGTTATCCTGCAATAGGGATCTTATATGAAAAAAAATTAATATAAATCTAATTAATTACCTTTACTGAAAGTAAAAAATCCTTACTTGTTCTGTGATCAAACTGTTTTTTCCATAACTACCTTCCTGACATGACATGCAGACTTCTCTCCATTATATAGAGCTATTTAGTGTTCCTGAAACTCATCATGTATTTTCCTATCTCCTCACGTTTGTCTTCTCTGGGAAATGACCTTCTTCCCTACCCTCCATTTTGTATTACATTTATCATCTTTTTTTTTTTTTAAGATTTTATTTATTTGCTTTTGCAAGAGAGAGCAAGAGTACACACACAAACTGGGGTTGGCGCAGAGGGAGAAGCAGACTCCCCACTGAGCAGGGAGCCCAATACAGGACTCGATCCCAGGACCCTGGGATCATGATCTGAACCAAAAGAAGACGCTTAACTTAGTGAGCCACCCAGGCGTCCTACACTTATCATCTTTCAACTTAAATTCAACTAATAAAAACTTATTGCCCCATGTCAAATACACCTTTTCCTTTTTTGAGTCCTCAGTGTGTTCTAAAGAGATTGACTTTTTGACACTTTAGTGAACTTGTGTCTTCTTTTTGTCTTCTTTTAAATCTTAGGACTTTTAAGTTGCTAGAAGATTAGAAACAAATAATTCATTTCTTTTTTCCCAGGATTAGCATAATGACTGGTCCTAAATTGCTCAGAAACTGTATCACAGATTATTTATTCATCCACTTGCTAGAAGACTAAAAGAGCCTATTTCATTTTTCAGTTTTGAAAAGTAATTAACTATAGTATAGAAAAAATGGCAGAAATTCTTTATTGGATTTCTTTCTTCCACAAAATATTGTGTAAAACTAGATATGCAATATGCACTCTGTATAAAATACCATTTTTAAAAGTTCCTGTATTAAACGGGTATATGTATTTATCAAAACTTCAAATGGTATATCGTGGATTTGTACATTTCATTGTGAGTAAATTTTACTTTCAGAAAGGTGAACAAATATTACACTCTGGTTAATGATTTGCATTCTCAAATATTTAGGACAAAGTATACTAGCATTTACAGTTTACTCTGAACTGTATAAAAGTAAGATGGATTGATGGATGGATAAATGTGTGATAAAACAAAATGTTAATGATAGATCCTGAGTGGTGGGTATACAGATTTTCACTGTGCAGATTCTTTAAAATTTTCTGTATGTTCAAAATTTTCCATAATAAAACATTAGGGAAATGGGAGGTGAGTTTTTAAAAAGAGGAAGTAGGGGCGCTTGGATGGTGCAGTCGGTTGGGCGTCCAACTCTTGGTGTCGGCTCAGGTCATGATCCCAGTGTCATGAACTCGAGCCCCACGTTGGGCTCTGCACTCAGCATGGAGTCTACTTGAGATTCTGTCTCTGTCTGACCCTCCCACTCTTGTGTGCTCTCTCTCTCTAAAATAAATGTATCTTGGGACACCTGGGTGGCTCAGTCGGTTAAGCGGCTGCCTTCAGCCCAGGTCATGATCCCATGGGGTCCTGGGATCGAGTCCCACATTGGGCTCCTTGCTCAGCAGGGAGCCTGCTTCTCCCTCTCTCTCCCTCTGCTTGTGCTCTCTCTGTCAAATAAATAAAATCTTTAAAAAAATAAAATATATCTTTTAAAATTAAAAAAAAGAGGAAATAACAACAAAACCCACATTCTATATTCCTACCTATAGTCTCTCCATCCCCCAAAGCTAATTATTCACATTGAACAGGAATGTGCCCTTACAGGGATCGGTGTCCTTCAGGGATGTGGCTGTAGATTTCAGCAGAGAGGAGTGGCAGCATCTAGACCTTGCTCAGAGAAACCTGTACCGGGATGTGATGCTGGAGACCTACAGTCACCTGCTCTCTGTAGGTAAGCACAGTCACTTGGGTCCACACAGAGTGTTTCCATTCTTAGTTGCTGAATGCTGTCAGACATCTGAAGTATGATGGTTTTGTCCTTGATTTGTCTAGGATTCTTTATCCCCTTGGGCATTCTGATTATTACTCTGTTCCCGGAAATACATGGTTACATTCCTGAAGAACAAAACTTCATTGAACAAGACTTTATTGATTGTGCTTTGAAACATAATTAGCTGATCCAGTCCTTTATCATTTCTTACGAACAGGGTATGAAGTTCCCCAACCAGAAGTTTTCATGTTGGAGCAAGGAAAGGAGCCATGGGCATTGCAGGGTGAGAGCCCACATCAGAGCTGTCCAGGTGAGTGACTGTGACTCAAACAGATGGGAGAAAGGGGAGCAAATCTCAGCTGTCTTGAGAAAAACTGGCATCTTTGAAATGCTATTAAGAGGACTCTTTTGGAAGGCTTTAACTTTTTTTGTATTGCTTGAAGACCCTTGACATTGGCCTCTCAAATGACTAAATGCCTTCATCATGTCTAATCATCTTCTTTGGCTTTTTAGAATCTGGATCACATGCCAGTCTGCCTCATTAAAGGTTTTCTTTTCTTCTTGGTTATGCTCCTTTTCTCAGACATTCTTTTTCTTTCTGCCTTCCCCATTGTCCGAGAGTCTATGCATTCAGGCCTTTGTGGATCTGCTTTCTTTCAGAGTTACTGTGAGTCCCACAGTCCCAGTCCTGCTAGTCCCCTGTCACTTCTTTCTTTCCACTACGGGATGCTCTAGAACGTTAACTCCCAGCAGCCTGTCTTCCTGTTTTCTCCATAGGCACTAACATAAGATTTCTCATTTCCTCATTCCTCATGCCTTTCACCCAACTGATGACTTAGGGGTAATTGTCTCTTAATCTTTAGGAGGACTTTTTTGATATTTCCTTCCAATGTTGGTTGACTTCACACTAACTGGGGTCTCTCTGCCTCATTGGCTGATTTTTGTAATTGTTTTATTTCTATACTTCACATGATGAGTTTGAGTTTAATCATGGTCCTCATTCAGGGCACACTGCCATCATCAGTCTGGGTAAATATTCTCTATTACAGTAGTTGGACCTTATCCACAATTTCACTTTCTGCAGTTACAGTTACCCATAGTCACCCATGGTCTGAAAATATTAAAAGGAAAATTCCAAAAATAAACAATTCATAAGTTTTAAATTGTGTGCCTTTCTGAGTAGCATTATGAAATCTCTTGCCATCCCACTCCATCCTGCCTGGGAGTTGAATCATCCCTTTGTCCAGCGTATCCATCCTATAAATGCTACCTGACCACTAGTCAGTTAGTAGGTATCTTGGTTGTCAAATTGACTCTCATGATATTGCAGTACTTCTGTTTAAGTAACCCTTATTTTACTTAACAGTGACCCCAAAGCACAAGAATAGTGATGGTGGCAATTCCGATATGCCAAAGAGAAGCCATAAAGTGCATCCTTTAAATGAAAAGCTGAAAGTTCTTGACTAGGAAAAAAAAATCAGGTTCAGTACTGTCTGAGGACTCAGGCATCTGCTGAGGGTTTTGGAACATGTCTCCTTCAGATAAGGGGGGAACGCCTCTATTTTATTTTTTGATTTATTACCATTTCTTTTTCCCCACACCCATCTCACTTCTGACCATAGGCAATTGTTTTATATGATGGAAACATTTTTTAATGCATGGATATTTTAAAATTTAAAGTGACGGGGATTATTCATTTATATAAATGTTGCTGTGCTGTATATCTTGTTCTTTGCCTTACTTTTTCCACTTCTGTCCATGGTGCGTTATTTTCATAATGTTTATTTACTCTAACCAGTGAATTATATCCTAGAATGTTTCCTATTGCCACTGTCACTAGCCTCTTCATCAAATGAATCACCCTCACCCTTTCCTCTGTTCAACATGGATGAGCCATATGACCCTCCCCTCTAGCCTCTGCCAACTGGTCTTTGAGCTAAAACATCATTCTCCTTTGAGGAGAGTTTAGGTTTCAAACGTCACAGCAGAAAATTTCTGAAAAAGCTTCTTTCTACATTGAGAAGGAAGGTGATGCTACAAGTGATATTTTGTTGTATTTCATTCTAGAAGAATTGTGGCAGATGGGTGACCAGATAGAGAGCTATCAGCAAAGAGAAAACAAATCTTTAAGAGATGTTGCTTTCATCAAGAAAATTTTGACTACAAAGAAGGATTATGAATATAAGGATATTAGAAAAATAATTCATGTGAGCCAAAACATTCTTTCACCAAAAAGACCCCATCAATGTGACTCATTTGGAAATGCTTTGAAGCATAATTTAGATTTACACAGTCATTATAGAAACAGTGCATCAAAGAACATTAATAAGATTACTGAAGATAGTAAAATTTCTTCCTGTACAGACCCTGAGTGTTCTCCAACAGGAGAGAAGTTATGGGACCATAATCAATGTGGAAAAATCCTCAGCTATAAACAAGCACCCTCTCAACATCAGAAGATTCATACTGGGGAAAAATCTTATGAATGTGCTGAATTTGGAAAGATCTTCACCCAGAAGTCACAGCTCAGGGTACATCTGAAAGTTCATACAGGAGAAAAACTTTATGTGTGCATCGACTGTGGGAAGGCTTTTGTAAAGAAGCCAGAATTCATTACACATCAGAGAACCCATACTAGAGAGAAGCCCTATAAATGCAGTGAATGTGGAAAAGCTTTTTTCCAAGTATCTTCTCTCTTAAGGCACCAGAGAATTCATACTGGAGAAAAACTTTATGAATGCAGTGAATGTGGAAAAGGATTCTCTTATAACTCCGATCTCAGTATACATCAAAAAATTCATACTGGAGAGAGACACCATGAATGCAGTGATTGTGGCAAAGCATTTACACAAAAGTCCACACTCAAGATGCATCAGAAGATTCATACAGGTGAGCGATCCTATATATGTATTGAATGTGGACAGGCCTTCATCCAGAAGACACACTTGATTGCACATCGAAGAATTCATACTGGAGAAAAACCATATGAATGCAATAACTGTGGGAAGTCCTTCATTTCTAAGTCACAACTCCAGGTACATCAGCGAATTCACACAAGAATGAAACCCTTTGTATATACTGAATATGGGAAGATGTTTAACAATAGTTCCAACCTCATTACACATAAGAAAGTTCAAATTAGAGAGAAATCTTCCATATGTACTGAATGTGGTAAGGCCTTTACATACAGGTCAGAACTGATTATACATCAGAGAATTCACACTGGGGAAAAACCTTATGAATGCAGTGATTGTGGAAAAGCCTTTACTCAGAAGTCAGCACTCACAGTGCACCAGAGAATTCATACAGGAGAAAAATCATATGTGTGCATGAAATGTGGACTAGCCTTCATCCAGAAGGCTCACTTGATTGCCCATCAAATAATTCACACAGGAGAGAAACCTTATAAATGTGGCCACTGTGGGAAATCCTTTACTTCCAAGTCACAACTCCATGTACATAAACGAATTCACACAGGAGAGAAACCTTATATGTGCACTAAATGTGGGAAGGCATTCACCAACAGGTCAAATCTTATTACACATCAGAAAACTCATACAGGAGAGAAATCCTATATATGTCCCAAATGTGGAAAGGCGTTCACGCAAAGGTCAGATTTGATTACGCATCAGAGAATTCATACTGGAGAGAAACCTTACGAATGTGGTACCTGTGGAAAAGCCTTTACCCAAAAGTCACATCTCAATATACACCAGAAAATTCATACTGGAGAAAGACAGTATGAATGCCATGAATGTGGGAAAGCCTTTAACCAGAAGTCAATACTCATTGTGCATCAGAAAATTCATACAGGAGAGAAACCTTATGTATGCAGTGAATGTGGAAGAGCTTTCATCCGGAAATCAAACTTCATTACTCATCAGAGAATTCATACTGGAGAGAAACCTTATGAATGCAGTGATTGTGGGAAATCCTTCACCTCCAAATCTCAGCTCCTCGTGCATCAGCCAATTCACACAGGAGAAAAACCATATGTGTGCGGTGTGTGTGGGAAAGCCTTTAGTGGCAGGTCAAATCTCAGTAAACACCAGAAAACTCATACTGGAGAAAAGCCCTACATCTGTTCTGAATGTGGGAAGACCTTCAGACAGAAGTCAGAGTTGATTATACACCATAGAATTCACACTGGAGAGAAACCTTATGAATGCAATGACTGTGGCAAATCTTTCACTAAGAAATCACAACTCCAAGTGCATCAGCGAATTCACACAGGAGAAAAGCCTTATGTATGTGCTGAGTGTGGGAAGGCTTTCACAGATAGGTCAAATTTGAATAAACACCAGACAACACACACTGGAGACAAACCTTATAAGTGTGTAGTCTGTGGGAAAGGCTTCGTCCAGAAATCTGTGCTCAATGTCCATCAGAGTATTCACACTTGAGAGGAATGGTATGAGAAAACCTCAGTGAGATCAGGTCTGATTTTACATCATTGAATTTGTGCAGAAAAATATACATATTATCATAAGTAGAAATACCCCATCAAAATGTCACACATTACTGTACAGAAGAGGGCCTTGAGTGAAGGGGGCCCTTCCCACATTGTCACTACCTTCATTAAGCCTTGAGGCATTCATACTGGAAGAAAAAATTTTGTCAATTTGACAGATTAGAAGAAGGCTTCTCACGAAAAATATGATGGAACAGGGACGCCTGGGTGGTTCTGTCGGTTGAGCATCCAGTTCTTGATCTCGGCTTAGTACTTGATCTCATGGTTGTGAGTTTGAGCCCTGCATTGGGCTCCAAACTGGACATGGAGCCTACTTAAAAAAAAAACAAAAACAAAGACAACATACATATATATATATATTTATATATATGTATGTATGTATGATGGAACATTGTTACCAAATTCTGCATAGGAAAGCTTATATTATGTCGTGTTAATGATAATCCTGTTTAGTTTGGAATAGGTAAAGTGCCAACAAGTTGAATGGTAGAACAACATAATATATACGATAGTGACAAACCCTAAGTTCTGTGAGATGTTTGCTGCAGAACACATTGTCTGACAGTTTTAGGTGTTTTTTCATACTTCTCTTGAATCTAACATGGTTGTGTGTATCCAACCCCCATTGAGTATTTCTGTCAAGAAAGAGATAACTCAGTAAAAAAGTTCTTTATCTATACAGACACAAACCTCAGAGTGTATGTTGACCCATTATCCTCTAGCATCATGACTTGTAACCCGCCTTTATCATCTACTAGTAAAGTGTCTTTGACCCTCATGAGTCCCTAGCACATTGTCCTCTGACACCCATAAGTGCATTAGTGCTAAACACTGTGTCTGCTGACTGCCATTATCTCATTTAGCTCCCAGCCTAGTGTTTTATGAACTTCTACTACCCTCAGGAAAGTTTCTGAGGTAAGAATTTTCAGGTCATTTTGGTCAACTTTTCATCCAGTCTCCCTTTTGCTGTCATAGTTCTTCCAGCTCATTTGCCTTCCTTAATGACCTGACATTTATAATAATAACAAATCAGTAACTCATATTTAAGAAACCTCAACATTTGTTCATGTCTTCTCTGTGTCCATCTTCATGCCATGGGCTCCACAAGCACCCCTCCCCATGTGCCTCACACACATCAGTTCAGGTCCTGTCTCAAGGCTTTTGCACTCTCTTTGAAGAACAAAGTTCCTCGTATCTGTGTGGTTAGCTCCTTCATGTCTTCCAGTGGCACCTTTTCACAGAGGCCCCTGTGCTTTCCTGCCTGGTTTGAAATTTTGGCCCCCTCCCCTCTATCCTTTATCCTTCTCTGTAGCACTTACTGCCATGGTACCCTGTATATTTTACTTACTTGTCTATGGCTCCCACACTAGAATGTTTTTCCCTGTTTTGTTCACCACTGTGAGCCTTGACCTGTGCCTGACAATAACAAGCATTCCATAAATGCACATTGTGGAGTGTTGACCCTGTTCATCACAACTTCCCTTTGATCTTTTCTATATTGCAGCTGAAGATGCTCCAATGGGGAGAACAAACTTGCCTAAAACACCAAGCTTTTTCATCTCTAGTTTTTACCTGGGCTGTGCCTCCTTCCTGGCCCTAAAGCTGAAATATCACCATAAAACTTTTGGTCTCATGCCAGCCACTTGAAAGAAGGGAAAACTGATACAGTGGAAATCCCACACAGATGCTTGGTGTTCCAGGATTTCTTACCATGATTCAGAAATACCACAGTGAGCTCCAAAATCATTGCAGAATAGCCTGCTCACTTTGCCCTAGCATGCACAACCTTACCCCACCCCAGACCCTTACCTATAGACCCACTCCTTATGCTCTGACAGGCCCAAAGCTAATAGTATGAAGGGGCTAAGAGCAAACAGGGCAGACCTTCTTTGGAAGTTAGGTGTCTGACCCAAGACTGGCAGCAGTGGCCTCTGATTGAACACTTAGCTGCTGGGCAGCCAAATTGGAACCAGCAGAATGGTTCCTCCAGGTCAGTCCACTGGTAACAACTGGGAATGGGAAGTAGTGGGGTTGTGCAGAGATGGCTCTTGCCTTTGTGAACAACAGCATAGTGGTTGAGGATTGGGACAGAACCTGGTCAAGGGGGCAAGCCTGGGAATTGCGCCTTTACCCTCTTCAGATTTTGTGACACATCCCATTACTCCACCTTAGATCAGTGCCTGATTCATCTTTAGCTCCCTTTCACCTCACCCTTTCCCAGTATCTGATGATCTACCATATGCCTTCTTCTATCTTTGAACAATGTATGGTGGGCAACCCACTGTTAACCCTCTTTACTTCATCCAGTACTGTATCTGGGGCTTCTCTAAATGTCTTGCAACCCAGAATTCTGCCCCAACTTAGGACAGTGTTTGCTGACCCCTCAAGAGAGTGTCTTGAGACCCCCTTATCCTACCCCAGCACAGTATCTAGATCCCCATTATCCCTCTTTTACTCCACTACTGTGTGTTTATCACTCCTCCTTAATTCCAGGAAATAGTGTCTGGAGATTTTCTCATTACCTCCTCCACAATTACTTCTAGCATAACATCTGTTACTTCACTTGTGACAATGTCTAGTAACCTCCATACTCCTCATTTATTCCTACTTTCATGTAAGTAGTGACAGATGACCACTTACTGCAGTCCTCAGAATAGGGAGCTGTGATATACTGCCCCCCCACCCAACTATTAATAATATCTTCCTTTTTTTTTAAGATTTTTATTTATTTACTTGACAGAGAGAGAGCAAGGGAGGGAACACGGGGAGTGGGAGAGGGAGAAGCAGGCTTCCTGCTGAGCAGAGAGCCCGATGCAGGGCTCGATCCCAGGACCCCGGGATCATGACACGAGCCGAAGGCAGACGCTTAACGACTGAGCCACCCAGGCGCCCCTAATAATATCTTTTAATACTCTCTCTCTACTTATAGTAGGATGGTTTCTGATCTCCCTACATTACTTGTCCATCACAACAACGGTAACTAATTATCTCCCATTTCCCCACCTAGCAGTGTCTGTAATGATTCCCAATCCAGCATGTGGTGATGCCCTCAATAACTTCTCTGAACGCTGGTAAGTGCCATTAACCTGCTTCGCTCCCCACAAGTAAGGGCATTGACTGATAATGCACCATAAACTCCACATTTTCATCTGCATTTTGGAGCCTCCACTATCCCCCTTCTCTGTAGGACTGCTTAATAATCAGCAAAAAGTCTGTTGATGTCCATTACCCAGTAACACATTATCTGTGACCACTCCATTAAATCCTGGTAGTATTTGCTTTTCCCCAGTTGGTTGCCACTAACATAATGCTGATTCCCCATTGCCCACATTGCTTCATGAGGCCCCTGAGTGGCTACTGCAAGTTCTCCAGCGTTGCTTCTCCACATCCCCACTGTTTGCATGGACAGGAGACCTGGAAGAGGGAGAAGGGTTGAGGATGAGATCCTAGCTTCATAGATCCCTCTGGGGAATTAGTGGCCCACAGTGGGCTAGAGAGGATCTGAGGGCATCAGAAGACCACAAGCTGGCTTCCCATGATGCAATCAGAATAGAGAATAGAGAAGGCTATGGATGTGGATCCAAATCCTGGTGCCAACACTGATCTGCAGACTTTCCCTCCTGGCCTCAATTGCCTCATCTATAAAATGTAATTATGGAGAATGAAGTGACTTAATGTAAGTCAGGGCTTATTAAGGGAGCAGGGCTAGTGGAGCCCACTGAGGGTATCCTGTTATTGTTAATAACATTACTAGTTATAAATTGACACAAGCATCTGACCAACATCTGTATGGCTGTGCCCAAACCTCACAGAGGGAAACATGTTATTTTATTGTAAGTTACTTTCAATTATTTCTCTTTTATATGTATTATGATACTGGAGTACTGAGATATTTTTAAAGTCAGATATATTGAGTTATTATTATAGATAATATTTACCCTTTTTAGTATACAATTCTGAGTTTTGACAGATGCATACAATTATGTAATCAACACCATAATCAAAGACAGAGAACATTTCCTTTACTCCCCAAAATTCTTTCCTATCCCTTTTTAGGCAGTTTCTCTCCCTATTTCCAGCCTCTTGCAGTCACTGATTTGACCTGTTTCTTGTCTCTATAGTTTTGCTTTTTTCCACAATGTTATAGAAGTATGTGTGCATGTACATATGCATGTATCTCCTTTTGAGTCTGACATCTCTCATTTTATGATTTATTTGAAATTCATCCATATGGTTGTATGAGATACAGATAGAAAATAAGCTGATGAAAAGATGCTCAACATCATTAGTCAGAAAAATGCAAATTAAGACCATGATGAGATACCACTACATACTTATTAGAATGGCTTTAAAATTTTTTTTTAAATAGTACCAAAAGTTGTCAAGAATGCAAAGCAGTGGAAACTTTCATGTGTTGCTGTTGGAAAGGTAAAGTGGTTTATCCACTCTGAACCAAAATTTGGCAAGTTCTTATAAAATGAACCATATACTAACCCTATGACCCAGCAATCCCACTCCTTGGTATTTAACCTATAGAAATGAAAAATTATATATGGACTCAAATTTCACAGAAACTATTGCCAAAAGATTGGAAACAACCCAAATATCAGTGGGTGAGTAATGCAACAAATTGTAGGAAAGCTATACAGTGGGATACTACTTACCCATAAAAGGGAATGATTTATTGACACAAGCTACAATGTGGATGAATCTCAAAAGTATTATGTTTTATCATGTGATAATTTAAATTATATTTGATAAAAAATTATTAGAAATTAGATTATAAATATAAATAGGTTTGTATAATTTTGTATGTGCATATTACATATAATGTATATTTACAATATATAGCACATTATAATATTTATTATATATTCCTTATAATAAAATGCTTATTTTGATACATAATATGTATTGTATGATTATTGAATTATATAATTTTTATAATTTTTCAAACTTTCACATAACACTTCAGTTATTTGTATTTTTACATGTTTACATTTAATGTTTATAGTATAAAGTTGTAACTATAATAAAAGAGAGCATATTGTCTGGAGAGCCTTTAGTTGTAGCTGGTCAGCATTTTTATTTGTCAACAGCTCAACTCTGGCTGTTCTTAACATCAAGGAACCTTGCTCCACTTTGCTCAGCTGTGTCCTCTGAGAGTATTCTGCCTCCCCAATGCCCATGCAGCTTGCTGTCTTTTCCATTCTTTGAAGAACCCCCTGCCACTATCCCTCAACCATTGTATGTGAAGTAACACTTCTTGTGATCACTTTGTATTTTGTACTATTTTTGTGTTGCAAGTACCACAATCTGACCTGATATTAAATATTTCTGTTTTTGGTTTATCATTCACCTCTCCCCACTGGACTGTCAACTTCATGATGCCCAGACTTTATCTTGTTCCTACTGTGTTCAAGGCACCCAGCACAGCACTAGCACAAAGCAGACACTCTGTATAAGTTATTTTTTTTTAAGATTTATTCATGAGAGAGAGAGAGCCTGATTGAGTGGGGGGAGGGACAAAGGGAGAGAGACTCTTCAAGCAGACTCCCTACTGAGCACAGAGCCTGAGATGGGGCTCGATCCCATGACCCACCACACCCTGAGCTGAAACCAAGAGTCAGATGCTCAACTGACTGAGCCACCCAGGCGCCCCTCTGTATAAGTTTGTTAAATGGAAGAATGAATGATAGTAATAGCATCAAGGTTGACCAAGTGCCCCACACCAAGTGAGCTAAACTCATGGGGGGGCGATGAGGGAGGGAGGATAGGTTGGTTACATGCCCTCTAATTCAAGATTTAATGCCCCTTCCCACACCTCAGCACATCTAAGCCCTAACCCTTCCTCACCCAACCTCAGCAACCCCATCCTTCCCCTCCCCAGTGTATCTGACCTGCATCCTTCCCCAGCGTCCACAAGGTCATTGCTGTGTCTCCTTACTCAGCCTCCTGGTTGCAGTGGGCAGGCCACGTAGAGTGGGGAGGGACAATAGCAGAGAACTGATAGGTAGGGGCCATCCTGTCACCATCCACCCCAGCACTTCTGTATCCCATGATCTCATGTGGTCTGCCCTGCCTCCTCCACCAGAAGAACCAGCAGTGGATATGAAACTCTGGGGACAAGAGGAAGGTGGCAGGGCTGAGGCTTTCCAGCTCCAGGCACCTTGCTGGACAATAAATACGACACAATGTGGCAGGTGTTGACCCTGTGGCAAGGTCGGGTTAAAGCCATGATTGTCATGGGCACTTGCCCTAATAGCAGGATAGGCTGAGCCCTCCACCCTCAGCCATCAGTTGGGGTACTGGTGCTGGTGTGACTATTATCTATATTATATTATCCCCTAACCACACCCCACCCCACTTTCCATTCCATACATCATACCATACCAGTTATTAACCATTTTTACTTAATTTCATAATTATATTGATTCTATCATTGAAGTATAATTAAATGTATCAAATTTTCTGCTATTTATACTATGCCTGTAATTATTAAGATATGAATAAGACAAACTCTGATGCTAAGAAATCCTGTATCCCCTCTGCTTTCTGCCACCTTCAGGTCAGTGGTGTTTGCACTGTGTACCACAATGATAATGCCACTTCTAGAGGTGAAGTTTTTTTCCCCCTCTGTGAAATGAGCTCAATTAGATTACTCCCTTAGTAATATTATGATTGTAGTATTTTAATATTTATTATAATGGGCAATGCTATTCAGACAAAAACTGGTGTTCTGTTTCCATGTGTTAAACAGGACAATGTAAGCGCTACTTTAATACAATCATTTGAATTACATTAAGGTTATGACTATAATTGGGTGCCTGGCTGGCTCAGTTGGTAGAGCATGCAACTCTTGATCTCAGGGTCATGAATTTCAGGTTCATGTTGGGTGGAGAGATTACTTAAAAAGATAGGACTATAGGGGTGCCTGGGTGGCTCAGTCGGTTAAGTGTCTGCCTTCAGCTCAGGTCATGATCCTGCCAGGGTCCTGGGTTCGAGCCCCGCATTGGGCTCCTTGCTCAGTGGGGAGTCTGCTTCTCCTTCTCCCTCTGCTGCGCCCCCCGCTTGTACTCTCGCTGTCAAATAAATAAATAAAATCTTTAAAAAGAAAAGGACTATAATTAATGTCAATTCTGAGAACCCATGGTGTGTTCCATTGCATTCTGGAAAATGGCATGTTTATAATGCATTGCTGACTACAGTATTTATTGCTATGTAACAAGCTACCCAAAATGTAATGGCTTAAGGACACCTGGGTGGCTCAGCTCATGATCTCAGGGTGCTGGGATCAAGCCCCATGTTGGGCTTCCTGCTCAGCAGGGATTCTGCTTCTCTCTCTCCCTCTCCCTCAGCCCTTCCCCCTCCTCGTGTTCACTCTCTTGTGCTCTCTCTCTCTCTTAAATAAATAAAATCTTGGGACGCCTGGGTGGCTCAGTTGGTTAAGCGACTGCCTTCGGCTCAGGTCATGATCCTGGAGTCCCGGGATCAAGTCCCACATCGGGCTCCCTGCTCAGCAGGGAGTCTGCTTCTCCCTCTGACCCTCTTCCCTCTTGTGCTCTCTTTCTCTCATTCTCTCTCTCTCAAATAAATAAAATAAAATAAGTAAAACTGGATTTAAAAAAATAAATAAAATCTTTAAAAAAAGAAAATGGCTTAAAACAATAATAAACATGGGGCGCCTGGCTCACTCAGTTGGTTAAACGTCTGCCTTTGGCTCAGGTCATGATCCCAGGGTCCTGGCA